TTATATTTAAATTATTGTAGAATTAGGTTTGAGTCCTTTGAAAGCTTAAATGTCAGCCTCTCAGCAACATTTTGTTTTCTAGTCCCTTATTTTTAGTTCAGAAAATGAAGGAATGAGTTTGGATGTAAACAAATCACATTTTTTCTAAAGAATTATTAACAAATCTAATGCTGCAACCAGATTGTTTCCATGTCAAACTTTATAAACATTATTATGACGCTGTGAAAGAAGTAATAGAAGACATTAAATATGCACAGATGTTTGATGTTTTTTGCAGACAAACAAACCTTGATCCCTCATCTCTATTTTATTTTCAGATCTTTTCCTCTTCATCTCTCCTTTAGTGTTTATCTGCTCCTTCCAGACGCCAACAGTACTTCCTTACGCTTAAGCTTAAGATGAGAGCAACTGTTGATGTAGAATATTTTTAAACTTTTTCCTCTTTAACTCTCTCATACTCTCTCTCTCTCTCTTGCCCTCGTTTCTCAAACCAGCTCAAACTTACAATTTTTTTGCTCCCTCGTCCCTTCACTGCTCACTGAAGCGTTGGCCCGTCAAGGCCATCAACATCGATCCAATAAAGCTGCTAGCCTTTACTGCCAGACTCGCGGAGCTCATACCCGAAATCCAGCACACTCATTTAACGGCGCATTGCTGTGATCTGATCTRGAGCTGAAGCACAGAGGGGGTAACGTTCTCTTTCTGCCTTTTCCTATTTTCCGCTCAAAAATATAATCAATAATGGTCTCACTGGCTGGACTAAGACGCACAAATATGCACAAACACACCTCAGGATCTCTATGACCTCCCCAGCCAGCTCACCAAACAGAGGAAATGTTTGCCAGCTTTGGAGTTTAGGATTCACATGTGGGATGAGAGAAGGTAAAAAGGTTAGTGTGTTCACTTCACACTCTAAAGTACTTTCATATTTTTGTGTTGGGCTATGGTTTGACATTTTGTGCTCCTCAGAACCTAATGGGTTTCTTTCTGCAATCACCGTGCTTCATGAAAGGCACCATTTTACTCAACGATATGTAGCAGCTGAGCAGGAAGTTTACAACTGTGTGTGTGTGTGTGTGTGTGTTTGTACACAAATTTTCTGGAATTCAATTCTTCTGAGAACCTGTTGAATCTTTAAAAACACCAACATTAAGAGAGATAACTAGTTTCTGCACTTGGTTGACATAATTTGAATCATGTGAATTATATTCAAATTAAAATTACATGATCAGTTCAGAAAAACAAAAATGTTCTTGTGATACAGTACAGTATGTATGCAGCACTGTTTGCAGTGTATTTCTGTGTTGAGGTTTTGAAATGTCCCTGAGATTACTGCTTCCGTTTAAATGGAGGGGAAGTGAACTGTCTTTTGGATGTGGCACTGCGGCACTTTAAAATGACATTTAAAACTGAGTGTGACAGATAAACAYAGGCTTTGCTATGAAGCATTTTTTACTGTAAACTCGAGAAATCGCCCTGAATTGCTTCTATGGACAAAATCTTCTTCTCTGGCAGAACTTGGTGCACTTTTGAACAAAATAGGGCAATTGGCTTAAACGACTTTAAAGGATTATTGGAAGCTTTCAAAACAGGCAATTTTGTGTAGGTTCAATGTTTTTTGAGAAAAATGAAAGTTTACTTTTCCATGTGTACTTTCTYAAAGAATTGGATGAGAGCTCTTATTGGCATTTCTATTGTAAAATACCATAGAGAGTGATCAGGGGCAAACTATGTTTTTAAAACTTGGAATAGTTGAACAATAAATCAGTTCAAATTAAATTTCTATGCTATTTTTAGTGAGATTTACATAAATTGAGCAGTAAATCAAGAGCTTCAACTTTTGTTTCAGCTCCTTCTTCACAGTCACAAACCGGAGCAATGCCTCAACYATTGCAGGCGAGGCTATGGTCCGTTGTTTGTCTTTCAGTCCTTGTTGTCATTGCTCCTGAAACACTATCCCATRTTTGAACTCCTCCTTTTGATGCAAAGATTCTCTGCAAACTGGGAGACAGCATTTCACTGATCCATTTTTTCCCCCAGCAACCCATCTATAGCCCTTTCCCATGGTCATGACTTGGCCCATCTCCAGTCAAGGAATCAGAAACTTTCCTCTGAATAATCCTAATTGCTTACAGCTTGGTTTTTGGACTTACTTGTCCTAGGTTCCAGGTGAGCTGTGCAGAGGCAATGGTTTAAAATCAGCATACAGCAGGTCTCTGATTGGGTATGGAAGCATATCACCGGATGAGTTAGGCAGCAACTGCTTCAACATTGTCATTTCCATCCGTTGTTTTCTACAGCTACACTAACTTACTTTATTCTTAGGTTTTTGTAACATGTTCATTTCTTTGACGTTTGTAAGACTTGTAACCTCATTGTCCTCCATCGTTACATCAGATAAGTGTTGAGCAGCCTTGCTGTGATGATCCTTTCCATATCAAAGTATCAGTTGTATGGAGACTCATAGAGTTTGCTCTACACTCAATCAAAACTTGGCATTAGGTCATAAGATATGGATCATATAATAAATGGAAACAAGTAGCTAGAAGTAGCTTTTTCTGTAGGGTTGCCAGGTTCAGTGTTATGCTACGTTCACACCGAACGCGTTTTGAGCGGCCAAAAAGCGCAAAACGTCTCTCGTTGGACACACTATTTTCAGACCGAAGAACACACTAGTGTTCAGACTAGAACAAGCAGCAGCAGTGAGGTGTGGGAGGAGCGTGTACACGGCGGGTGAAATAAAGATAAAATAAAAGAAAATGGCTTTGATTTATTTACTAAAAATCAAGTGAATGTTGCGCACAGCAGATAATTACCTCACCAGATAATTTGAAGGTGATTTGTTCGGTTAGTTTCGTCACTCCAGAAACTGCTAGCTGACTGACTTTTTTCTTTATCCAGACCATCTGACCCACATTGGTGCTGATATATCCTGCAAGAAAATCCAACTGCACACGGTCGATTTCAGGTAAAGATCTCCAGTCCGTCTGTTTCGGTTTTCAGTGGGAGACGCGTCGAGCGGCGAAAAGTTCAGATATTTGAACTCTGGCGGCGGCTCGGGCGGCAGCTCGGGCGGCGGCTCGGGCGGCAGCGGCTTCCACAGCACTGCATGCAGGGAAAATGCTCTGCGCTCCTTCCGCCTTCCTTGCGCGCCGCCCAAAATGTACGTGATGCGACGCACGACCCCTAGAGGTGCCTCCACCATAGACTTTGCATGTGAATTGGCCGCTCCTGCCGCTCAAAACGTGTTCAGTGTGAACGTAGCATTAGAGAAAGAGTGAGAAGCTCCATCATCTGAGGTGAGCTCAGACTTGAGCTGCTCATCCTCMACTTTGAAAGGATTCAGCTGGAATGGTTCAGTAACTCAGATCGGCTGTGGTGGAGTGGTTAAGGGAGTCGTCCTGGAACCGGAAGGTTGCCAGTTCGATCCCCCGTCCAGCCGTTTCAGTCATTGTGTCCTTGGGCAAGATACTTCACCCGCCTTGCCTGCTGATGGTGGTCAGAGGGTCCGGTGGCTCCAGTGTATGGCAGCCTCACTTCTCTCAGTGTGCCCCAGGGCAGCTGTGACTACAATGTAGTTTGTCATCATCAGTGTGTGAATGGGTGAATGTCTGTAAGTGCAAAGCGCTTTGGGTTCTGGAGGGACTTGGTAAAACATCTTGTTTAAGATGCTCCCTGAATGCTTTTCTGTTGAGGTCGGCCAGGTACAGTACATTGCACTGGGAGAAGATCACTGGGCAGAACCTGCTAAAAATATGATTTTACCTTTCTGGACTGAGATCAACCTGGATCAAAATGCAAAATGTTGCTCAGAAAAAATATTTCTGGCTTCCCTCATGGATCTGCTGCTTCCATGACTCGAATACGGCTAATTGGAAGAGGATGGATGGATGGATGGATGGATGGATGGATGGATGGATGGATGGATGGATGGATGGATGGATGCATGGATGGATGGATAGATGGATTATTTTAGTATTTTTGATTATAAAGGTCATGAATTTTAGTTTGCAAATTAAAATGTGTCACTGGCTCTAATTCAAAGTCATTTAAACTTCTGAACTTTATAACTTAGAATAAAGGAACAACAGAACATTAAAGACTAGTGAATTTGACTTTTGCTGGTAATRGTTTACAACTATCTTGACTTTGACGATGCTCTGTTATGTGTGATTCCTAATTGATAATTTAAAATAACATTGGGGTAAAGATCTCAGAGCTGGCGTCCTAATGCACATGCATTAAAAAAGTTTGTAAAGTATCTGCTAAAATCTATTCTATTTCCCGTCACAGCTTTCTCTCCCACTGCACAGTAACAGGTCTATTATCCCGCGCTGTTATTAGATTGTAATGCTGCATTTTAGCCGCACGCTTGACATGTTCATTAGGTATAAACCAATTCATTTAGAGCACCGTACTATTGGATTGTCCTTGCCTCGACATTCCTCTCCCAACACTCTGGCGTTTGATGCGTTGCCATTGCCATTTAACTTTGATAACTCAGCTCCAGCCTAATATACTGCTGCTGAATTGGCTTGACAAGAGTGTGGCGATAAGCYATTTCTGAGAGTTTAGAGTGACGATAGCTGGATTATCGCTCAAAGTGAGGGAGGGGAAGGGAATATTCTCCTGCATGACCTCCCTGGCCAAAAGTCATTAAAATGTTTAGTTTGTTTKTGTTGGCAGATGTGCACACACAAAGAGGCTCGTAAACTGATTAAAACTGTCCTTGGAGACCTAAACGATTTGCATCAGTTACTTCTGATTTGCAATTTTTTGCAGGTCCTGACATTCATGTTGAGTTTTTTTTTAGATGTGTTTTTAAAACTATATATATTTTTTGTTTCTAACTTGAATGTCTGACCCATTTTGTGTGGCTTTTTGAACAACATGCATGTTGTAAATTCTGCTTCGACAAGATAACTGATAAACAGTTGCGTAATAAAGGATGTGAAAAGCATCTCCTGGTTGATTTGTTGTTCTGTCTCTCTCTCTATCAGCAGACTACCAGAAGCTGAGCTGTTCTCCCAGGTTTCTCTGACTGACTGATTGGTCCATTGKTTCATCACTCAACATCAGTTCCAACAAATGGGAGCTGACTTTGGAGCCATGGGTGGGATGAAGATCCTGCTCCTATTGTTATTGGTTGGATGGGAAGAGTCAATGGGCCTCAACTGGAACCCAGTCCCACGCAAGACAGTTAGATACCAAGGTGAGTGAGCTGTCTATGGTTACAGTACAATGTTTTTGTTTACTAAAAACRTTAAAAAGTAACACAATTTAAAGACTATACGCTTCAACAATGTCATTCAYAAAGAGACATTATAGCAAAACTTTGCATCTACTAGGCAAGTAGTGCATTCTTAACTTTTTTTTATCTGAACAAGTGAAGAGGGCAAAATAAAGAGTTACAATGCTAAATACATCAGATGCACTTTCCCTTCAGCTGATTAGTCAATCATTTCACTAGAGTTCCCAAGGAATCACTTTGTGGGTGAAAAAACTCACTTCACCATGCTTATCCTTTTATTGTTACAATTCATTGCTTCAATCAGAAAACTGGAACACGTCTTTGCTGCAGGCAGCTAGTAACGATTTAAAATTTGGTCCTTTGCTACATTGTTTTATGTGAAAACAACAGCAGTTCATTTCCTGAGTTGGGTGTCTTTTTCTGCCTGAATGATTCATGGGACAGAGTTGGATGCTGGTCAATTGGTATTCTAACCAAGCAGTTGTCACTTTCTTTCCAACATTTAATGTTTCTGTTACCACTAAAAGAATTCCCATTTTGCACTCAGATACTTAGCACATATTTCTTCATCGTGTTAACCCTGCATGCACTTAATGGACAGAAGCACCAACCTTATGGGACTTCATTGTTARGCCAAATACCAAGGCCTAACCATAAACGGGATCAATTTTGTTTAYCTTTATTTCAAAAGTGTATTTCATTAGATAAAATTGTTAGCGTTGCGGCAGATAACAAAGTGGCTAGATCTGTGACAAGGTGGGTATAAAATAGACAGAAGTGGACAAAGTGTGTCCTAAGAGACCCGATGGTTTCCTTTCATGTTTTATTTTAAAAAATTTAAACTTTGAAATGATTTTCAGAAATCTGAAAAAATACTGCCCAAAACTACTTCAAACAATTACAAAAAAATAATTGGGTATTTGAAATGAGTTGGCTCAAGATTTTACATGGTACTATTTTCCTTCCTAAAAAGCCCTCATCTGTTTCTTTAYTTCAGACTTTAGTGTTATATTCCTYCAAAGGTCACTACTGTCAGGACAGGCTGCTAATGGTGACTGTTGAGTGTTTCTAAGTCAAAAGTCACCAGAGCAGAATTTTGTTGGGAGAGAAAAAAATTGTGAATTTACTGATCTCATTACCACTGGCAGCAACAATTCCAGAAGAAAGTACTGCTGAATTAATTCTTCTTGTTMTTGAGACCCAGTCGTTTTGAACATCTGCTGTATCTGGTCAGACATCTGATGTAAAACCAATTATCACAAAAATGTATTCCATTGCAACTATCAGTAAGGATTTTTCCATTAAATCAGAGGTGGATGGTTTCAGCCCTTTGATGGGGTTCTGCATCGACCCTCAATAAGACAATACATCAGTCTAATCCTGGCACTCWACTGCTTTCAGTCTTTATCTCTCCTCTTCTCTGCAGCCAGATTCAGCTTTCTTTGCTGAACAATGCCAATTGTTGCAAGCTGAGAAAAAAAAGTCTTTTTTAATCCCTCAATGCTGAAGTGGCATCTTCATTCTCCTGGGGATTATGGAGGTATAAAAAGAAGGGGGGACTTCTCACCTTTCTGTTTCACCTATCCCCACCCTTTCATCCCATATCCATCCCTTCTTTCCCAGCTTATCCTGCTGTTTCTTTATGCAGTTTATCCCTCCCCWCCCCTCTCATGCTTTGTATGCTGCGGCTCGTCGAATGAACCTGAAATGCTCTTGTGACATTTTCACAAAGAGCTCCGATTTCAGCTGTACTCGAGTAGCGGCGGCAGCGGTCATGTTGGAGGTGTGCGGGGACATTTCAAAACCTCTCTCGTGCCGTTATCAGCCACTCCCGATCTCCTTTTGTTTTTGGGGATCTTTTTTTTCCAATCTCACTGCCCTGCACCTTCATCCCATCACTCCTGTTGTTCAGTCTTTAACAGTGTTATGGTGGGATGTGAAGTAAAAGGGGGAAAAAAGGAATGATGAGGAGAAAACAATCAACGTGGGGTTGATAGTTTGTGGGTGAAACTCTCCAGAGTAATAAAGAGCAGCTGGAGTTGGTACAGTGTGGAAAGGGTGCACCAAGAAGGTGTTGTTCCAGAAAAAAAAAATGCAGCGAGAAAATATTTAGTTTTTTGAAAATATTTGATTAACAAATTATAAATAACTTGTTTTACGTAAGGCAGTATCTCACGGTGACTGCAACTGTTGGAGACTAGTTGGCGACTCAAACCAGCTGAAGAGTTGTGGAAAATTAGACAAATTATCCGTTGCAACAACGTTCAACACAGTCAAGTTTTGAATATCATGGCTTATTGCTTGTGCACGGTTTGCCAAATTCTAGGTCATGAACATTATTTAGTTGTCCTTGGCCCTCATCTTAAGGCAGCGTCACATGATTTTTGCCCTTCCGACAATCTTAAGGAAGTCCAGATTATCATGATGGCTCTAAAGATAATCATAGCAGATATTCCTGATGTGGGCGGAGAGTTAAGAGTGATCTAGTCAGCTCGGAAGGACATCGGGACCACTCCGACCTAAAATTGGGGATATTCAACATGTTTGATTTTTTTGGCCCGATATCACAGTGTGTGWRGTGTTCACCTGAGCTCACAGCCTGTTGAATGAGATGTGTAGCCARTCAGAAAGCAAGGTGACGTAAACAGGGAGGGGATTCCAAAATACAGAAGACAAAAAACTGTCATGACTCACCATAAAGTCTGCTGGATGTTAAAAGTCCTATGGAATTGTTTTTTCTCTGGTAAAAATAGTCCACAAACAATCAAAATTGTTTCTTCCTCGGACATCTGAATTCTCGCGAGATTTCAGGAAGTCTCACGTGATTTAATATCTGAYATCTGAATGTTCATGAATGAAATATCTTTCCATGTGTGGTGTGTTGTCTCTTGCTGTGTGGCTGTACACCACACACTGTAGGACCAAACGTGATATATCCATGATTTTTTTATCCTCACGTGTGGGCTCTCTCAATCCGGCCGACTGTTTTAAAATCTTGCAGTGTGACTCAGTCTTTACCTTCTTTGTACCCTGGTTCAATGTTCATGAGTTAGTTTGCTATAAGACACAAACACAATTAAATGGCAGGTAGGTAGATTTAGGAAAAACTAGAGGAAACTCAAACTAGCTGTAGAGTTGTGGATCTACAACTAAATTAGGAAGGATTCATTGTGATAACCCTGTGATTATTTAAAAAAAAGCTGTCATGCATTTTTTGACCATGTTCAACACTCAACAAGAGACTCTGCAACTCATAAGAAAACCTTGTTCCATGATATTAKAGAGACTTCCTTATAAAATTTTGTTTGCTAGCTAGTCACAGCCCAATGATATCCATTTCTTTTCTTCATGAAGAACTAAAAACCTCGCCATAATCCTTCCATCATCCTTGATTTGAACGTTGTGCTTGAGCGCAGAAGGATTCCTAACACACGCCGGTTCACGTTGGAAACAAGCAGGATTACGTTACATGCTGACAGCTTCTCCAACTGCTTACAAAAAGAGATTTGTAGGCTGAACTCTACGTTAACTGGCTTATATGGACGTGCTCYTGCTACAGCGCTCAGAAGGCGATGCAAGTGTAACAAAACTGCAGAGGGAGGGTCGGGCGGGCCATTGGAGAGGAGCTAAATGAAGAGAGAGACAGAGAAGGACAAAAGTAAGGGCTGACTGAAAGATAGCGACTATAAAAGAGAAGGTARCAGTGACGTGCCTTAAAAGGACAAAAAGTATCTTGACCTGAACCGCAGAAAGAAGGGAAAACACACATTTACTGGAGGCTGTTCTCCTTGTGTTTCATTTTACACCGAGCCATCACTGCTCAGCAATAATATTAATGTGTGCGTGCGTGTGTGTGTGTGCGTGTGTGCGTGTGCGTGCGTGCGTGCGTGCGTGTGTGTGTGTGTGTGTGT